TTTCTTGGAAAAATGGTCTTTCCTCCTACCCTGACAATAGGAGAGGTGGACGGCACTGTTTGCCCCCAGAATTCTGTCAGGACTGAGAAGGTAGCCCCAGTTTCAAGGAGAAAGTCATCCTTGCACCTATCCATCTGAATCCGCACCCTGGGTCCCTGTCTATTGATTATTATGGCCAGGGACAAGGACCCAAGGCTCCATCAATCTTCAATTGCCATGCCCAAAAGGTCAGAGGGTTCCCTGGCCATAGGCCTCCTACGGGATCTAGGACAGTCAGAGCCCCAATGACCTTGTTGTTGACATTTAGGGCATGGGGTACACGGAGTGTGTGGTGCAGGGCATTCCCTGGCCCAATGTCCCTCCTTGCCACACTTGAAGCAGGTGCCGGGGCGGGGGGGTTGACCTGTGGTGATGGGCAGCGACCCAAGGAAGCACCCTGCAGGGCCTGGGCGAGCATCTGAAATTTCTCAGTCTGGGGGGTGGCAGGGCCTTGTTCGAGCTTTTTTAGTTTGGCCCAGATGTTGGGGTAGCTCTGCGAGAGGAAATATGTCATAAGGACATGATGGCCATCTGGGGTTTTGGGATCTAGGTTATTGCTGAAGGGTTTTTGTAAGCTGATCCAGAAATTCCAATGGGGTCTCTTGTAATTTTTGGAAATTATCAGCCTTACATGCCACTTTTTTGAGCCCAGCAATAATACATGCGGAGAATCGGTCCCTACTCTGTATGCCAGCTTGTGTATAATCCCAGTTGGGAGTTTGATCTGGGGCAGCAAGTGGCCCCGGAGGGTGATTGGGATTAACTCTGTGAGTTTCGTCCGCATGGGCTCTGGCAAGTTTCCAGACTCTGGTACGTTCCTCAAGGAGAGTATTAGCCAATAACATATAAGTGAGGCTATAAGCCTGGAGTACCCATTGAAACTCTCTTATGAAAGTGGTGGGATCTGTGGTGAATGAGCCCAACCTTCGTTCTAGTTGCATGAGGTCATTCATAGAGAACAGGATATGTACCAGGATAATGCCCTCAGGTCCAGCAACCTCTCTTAAGGAGGCCATGGTTTGTGGGACTAGGGAGCAGGACCTAGTTTGGGGGAAACTAAAGGTGTCAGCCGAGTCAGGGGGAGCACCTGAGGGGCTGGACGGAGCCGATGTGGGAGGTCGGTAGGGAGGGGGTTCATCTGCCAGATAAGTCGGGAGAGAATGAAGAAGAGAAAAAGCCTCAAACATAGGGGAACTCCTTCCACTTTTTCGAGTGCTTGCAGAAGTTAAACAGCTCTCTGAGAATTGTGGGATCTAGGGATCCCCCTGGGGGCCATTGACTTTGATTGTCTAATTGATAGTAAGGCCAACCTTGTGTGCAGAATTTAATAAGGGGGAGTCTGCAGGGAGGAAAGAAGAGGCCCCCATAGGTCAGGAGAGGGACAAGGGTGGTTGAGAGAGAGAGAGAGAGAGAGAGAGAGAGAGAGAGAGGAGTGCCTGTTCTTCCACCCCTCAGGACCTCCCGCTCATGAACCAGGTTCCAGAGAGTCCACTGTGACTGTGAAGGTCGTGGTGGGGTGCGTTTCTCTCCTCCAGATTGGGCGTCAGAGGTTTGCTGGACGATCACGGTCAAAGCCCCTGTGTAGCCCGTCTGAAGTTGGATACCCGATAGGGGAACTCACCTACTGAAGAGCCAGTGTTGTGTGAGTAGTAGCAGTGCTCGAAAGAGTGGACGAGGACGGCAAGCCTTGAGAGAGGGGGGCCCTTGAGCAGCGAGGCATTCCCCCTCCTGGGTCTCGGCACCAATGAAAGATCGAACAAGGCTCGTCGTCGGAGAAAATGCCTGGTTATTGAGGAACAGCTCTGCATATTTATAGAGCCAGGGGTGGTTTGACAGTTATGACAGTTTAACGGTTGAAGGGTTTGACAGTTGGCATGGGGTGCTTTCTGATTGGTGGGTAAGGATCATGTGAGCCAGCAGGGCTAGTCTGATTGGTGGGTAAGGATCATGTGAGCCAGCAGGGCTCACCATTGGATGGCTCTTCTCGGGGGATGGGGAAGTTAGTCTTTGGAGGGGGGGGGACTCCCAACAGTGAGCCCCAGCCTACAGTCTGTTTATGTAAATATAGTTTTATTGGCACATAGTCATTTATATTGTCTATGGTGGTTTTTGAGCCACCATGGCAGATTGAGTACTTGCAATAGAAACTCTAGAGCTCATAAAACAATGTATTTACTGTCTGCCCCTCTAGATCACTGTGCCTGCCTGGGGGTCATCTCATAATGCAGAGGCTTCAGATGACAATTCCCAGGCCAGGTGTCTTGTCGCTCTCCCACAGTGGCAGGCACCGCCTCTGCAGGCCACTCGAGGCTGTGTGACTTTGGGCACTTGGGTCTCCAGAGGCTCAATACCCTTCTGGTTTGGACTGACGCCTGCACAGTGGCAGCCAAGTGACATGGCACTTTTGGTCAGCAGGAAACAGATGGCGACTCAGAATAATTCCAGGAGTGTTTAATAAAGTGACGATCTACAGGGTGAGGGCTAGGTGCAGGAAAGTCACTGGATATATGAAAGTGGCAGAGTCCTCAAGGGCCAGTAGAAGCCTAGCTGTGATCAGCCTAGGCAGGAGGGGACAGGGGAAGGGAGCAATTCCTGAACCTGAAAGGAGAGTCATTTCGAGGGGACAACTTAGGAGGAGCAAAGACCTGCAGTTGGGGGAGGCATCCAGCTCCAGGTGACCCTGTGGGAAGGGAATCAGCAGCACAAATACCCCAACTTCACCTTTCTCCATCCCTGATGTAATGGGGTCCCCATAGGCCAAACTGCAAGGGAGGCCACAGGGCATGGAGTCTTCGTATGGCCCCTGTGTGTCAGCTTCCCAGGATGGAGCCAAATAGAGAAGGGTAGAAAGGGAGTATGGAAGGGCAGACTGACACGTGTCCCTGGCACTGACTTAGAAAGCCAGGGATCAGATTCCCTAGCCTCCTGACAGAGGCACATCCGCATCTCCCTTGCAAGTTGGTAGTTTGGCCTAACAGGTTGCCATAGCTTTGCACTCTTGCTGCCTCCTCCTGGATCTGCCAGCCTCCAGATGGTTATCATGGGCTTAGTCTTCCTGGATTGTATCCTCACGAGAAGGGTAGGAAGTTACGCACAGAAGCATAGACAAACTGTTCTGTGTGTGTGTGTGTGTGTGTGTGTGTGCGCACGCACGCACGCATGCCTGCATGTGCATATGTGTATACATGCCTAAGCAGTCTGATTAATCTGTGTCGACTTTAGCTAAAGTTCCTCCTCACGTCCCATCTTTGGATTTCAGGAAGAATCCCATTTATCTCTGCAGCCAGCTCAAGCTCAACAAACAGGTGAGCCGGTCTCTGGCCCCTTGGGAGAAAGAAGAAGAGTGAAAAAAGCTAACCATGCTGGTAAATATCCCCAGAAAAATCTGCTTTATTGGCCAGATCCCCCTGATGCCAACACACACATACTCACATGCAGATTTCCTCCACTGGCGTCTGAGATGACAAAACTGCAGCATGTCACCTGGAGGGGCTTCCCTGGTGAGTTCAAAAGCTTAGTTTATGAGAAACCTGGGCTCACAGGGAGGAAGGGCATGGCTTAGGCAGCATGACCACCTGCAGCAGAACTGGGGCCAGAATTCAGGACTGGGGACTCCAATCATTTTCTATCTTTTTTTTTTTAAATGGAAGCCAAAAAATTGAAATTATCATAGAGTCCTAAGAATGGATTTGGCAAAAATGCAAATTGTAATGTGGTTGTAGGCAAGTTTCCTTGTCAGGTTCGGCAGTGGAGACCACACATCTGGACCCTGGACCCCCAGGATACAGCTCTGTGCAGGCAGGATGAAGCATAGGCTTGAGATAGACAGTGCCAGTCAAAATCCACACTCCCAGCTGTTAATAGCTGTCTTGACCTTGAACTTGTTATTTCTCATGTCAATGAAACTCAGTTTTCTCATCCTATAAATATGACACTATCACCAACCACAGAGTTGTATTAAATCCAATTCCACGTAAGCAAGTACAGAGCAGGGTCTGAAGGTCAGCAAACAACACTTTTCTTGTCTTTTTCTTCCAACTGGAAGCTTCCTGAAATATTCTTTAAAAAGGTAGAGGCCAACTAGTTTGAGTGTGGCAGTTAGAGCTTTGTGCTCTAATGATAAGGAACGGGGACCCTGCCTGGGAGCGTGGGGAGGCTTCTGAGGTGTCAAGAATGCTACTGCATTCTCATGGACTTGAGAGTAATTAATAAAACCACGAGTTTCTCCTCCCTCTTTCCCCTCAAATTTCTTCAGAGAAATGAAGAGTTCATACTCATAGCCGGAGTGCTCAGGTTTTAAATTAGACAACTTTGTCCTGACAGGAACAGAGTCACACCTGTCATAGCCGATTATTTTTAGAGTTACTACTAAACCCTTTGTACAGCAGGAGCTGCCACTGTTCAAGGCAAACAGAAAGACTTTTCACATTTTATCATGACATCTCGGGGGCCGTCCACCCCCTCCTGTTCATTATTTCCAGCCCGTCTTTGGAAGGGATGATGCGGCATCCTGACACTCTTACAGCGAGGGAGGCAGACCCTGGTTACTACACCCAAGAGATTTAAAGCCCTCAAAGCAGAGGAAAACCCCTCTGCCTCCAGGAAGCCAAGGAGGATTGTTCCCAGAGGAATCCGCAGCTCCATCGCTTGCTTTTGATAAACCATCAATCGCTCTGGAGAGATGAAAAATGACCCTTGTGGAACCAACCAATCAGAGCCCCTGTATGCAAATGCACGCAAGTGCGGGCCAGGATTGGCCCGCTTGAGAGTGACGTCACAATTCTCTTCCTCTGACCCAACAATAGGACCACCACTGAAAAAGCCAACCTGGGACTGCAGCTCTTCCCAGAGAGAAAAAAATCACCACAAGCGGAGCACCTTGTAGATTGCTCCTGGATGTGCCCGCAAAAGTCTCTGCTGTCCAAGGTACTGAATCCAGAAAAAAGCATGATCTTGTGAACATGGGAGAAGTCCAGCTGAAGCCCAAGGTGAACGTCTCTTCCTACGTCCACTTTTTGTTGAATTTCAGAAACAAACTCAAGGAACAGCAGCCAAATACCTACCTTGGTTTTAAAGAGTTCTCTAAAAAGTGTTCAGAAAAATGGAGATCCATCTCAAAGCATGAAAAGGCCAAATATGAAGCCCTGGCCAAGCTCGACAAAGCCCGCTATCAGGAAGAAATGTTGCACTTCGTTGGCAAGAAGAAAAAACGTAGAAAACGGGACCCCTTGGCCCCCAGACGGCCTCCATCATCCTTCCTGCTCTTCTGCCAAGATCACTATTCCCAGCTGATGAAGGAGAACCCCACCTGGTCAGTGGTGCAGGTAGCAAAGGCCAGTGGGAAGATGTGGTCTACAGAAACAGAGATGGGAAAGCAGCCATATGAACAGAAAGCAGCTCTCTTGAGAGTGAAGTACTTTGAGGAGCTTGAAGTCTATCGGAAGCAAAACCATGGCATGAAGAAAATCCTGGCTAAGAACCAGCAGAAAGGCAAAACTGTGTTGGGAAAAACGGATACATCCAGTCCAAAAAAATAAAGTGCCATTGAACTCTACTTCCTGGCCCTGGTCTCATGAGTGGTGTTTGAATAGCTGTTGCCACTTGTGTTGGGGAATTGAGTGGCTTTGGAGAGAGGTTGGGACTGGGGGTGGGGGGTGGGCGGTGGCTTGGAGAACAGGTGGCAGCAATGTGTAAATTGCGTGGAGCAGAGATGTGAAGGTCAGAGTCATGAGGCAGGAGCCCCAGGTTCCAAGTGGTCTACTGGGTTGGAAGACCCTCCTTGGGTCGGGGTCAGGTGTGGGAAAACTACTAGACCCAGCTCTGGTGGTGGGGGTGACAGGCTGGAGCACAGCTCATGGTTCCACTCTAGGTCCCATCAGAGAAACATGACAAGACTGTCAACAGGAGTGCACCCCATAGTGGCACCACGTCCAGCAAAGGTTAGGCAGCTGGACTTCAGATGGACTGGCAGGGACCCAGGGTTCCTCCAGTCCTTCTGGATACGAAGTCTCCAACAAGACTTAGCTTCCCTTAGTGGGCCAGGATGAAACCCCAGCAGTGTCCCTAGTTAGGACGAGAAGAGATGCTGATTGGGCAAATAAAATGAGGTTCCTGACTACAGCTCTTAGACTCGGAGCATGTTGAATATATAATCCCCTGGCACCCACTCCTCCTCTCCATCACACACAGCACCCCAACTCCCTTTTGTGACTCCCTTCTGGGACCAAGGCTTGATGAGAGGACAGAATCACTCTGGCCACACTGACTCATGGGCATATGACCCAAGATGACCCCATTAGAGCAGATCTAGGGCTTTGTATAGGAGTCCTGGGAAGGGTGGCGCTCCCAGAGATGCTGCCAGCTGCCAGCAAATTACCACCCAATAGCCTAAGACCAAGGCCAAAATAGTAGAGCCCCTGGGCATCGATCCTCCTGGACATGACCCTTAAGATGTGACTGAATGTTTCTCTCTTTTGAACCTAGGATGGCATGAGTTAGGTTTTCTGCTTCTTGACGGTAATTTGACGTGAGCAGGATGGTACTACAAGTGTCTGTACAGTAACTGGATGTTTTTTTCCCCAGGCCACAGTACACTGTGGGCAACGTTTCATTCCAATCAAGGTAGATTGAAACAGAATATTGTGAAATGGTTCTTTTGACTTCCTGATATCACAAAGGCTGGCCTCAGATGCTGAGCTGATTTTCTGTCCCCGAGTTAGGTATGTGGCACACTTCCCCGATGCCATGTCTAACCCCACTTTCTACTCCACAGCACCGTTTAAACTTCCAAAATAAAAGTAAAAATACATAGTTTCAAAATGTCTTTTAGAATTGCGTGAGCCATTAGGGATGAGAGGTAAAACAAGAACAATTTAGAAATTTATTGTCTGGAATCAGGCTGGTTAGGGAGGCTTCTCAAGTGCCGGGTTCCGTGTTGGGCAAGGGGAGGCGCCTGTTGTTAGGTCCTTGTCCTGCGAGAACTTTCCTTCCAGTGACAGAGATGGACTTGGCCTGAATCACAGCACTCCAAGGCACAATGAGGAGAGTGAATGCTGGGAGGGAGTGGGTACCACCCCTGACCCCACCCTGAAGTCTCCACGCGGGAGCAGCCTAGTCTCTTGGCAATGTGTCCTGGGCTGGCAAAGCTCCGGCTCCCCATCACCCCCAGCTGCTGTGCCAACTCAGTTCTGATTCCCCTCCAGCCCATCCTCCACCCTCTCAGGAGACACCCTCTTTTTCTGCTTCATTGAGAAAATAGAGATCATTAGACTTAAGTGCTCTGTTTTCTTTCTCAAAATGCACTTTACCCCCTTCGTTTCCTGTGGTCTCAGGTCTCCTGGGGCACTCTAGCCCTCCTCTAGCTACTCCCTGCCCTTCCTCTCTCAGGCCTCTGCTCCTCACTACAAGGATGCTGAGCCTTTGGTCTCAACTGTGCCCAAGTTCACTTGATGTTTGTTCCAGTCTTCATACTGGCAGGACCTTGGGCCAATGTGCATTGCTCTGAGACTTTAGTTTCTCATCTGTGGAATGGGATGACACCTGCCTTGCAGGCCATTTTGTTGAATATGTAAACATATTTGGCACAGTCCTTAACACTGATAGGCACCGTGGTTGACACCCTCTAGAGTGGCAGTTCCATGATTCCCCCATCTGGTGTCTACACCATTGTTTGACCCCTTCCCATTAAATGTGGGCAGAACTTGTCACCTAACTTTTAATCAATAGAGCCTGGCAAAGGAGAGGGATGTCACTTCCCTGGTTATGTAATGGTATGTAATACCCCATCTCACTTCCCAGTCTGCCCAGAGATTCTCCTTGCGGTTCAGTGAAATAAGCAGCTGACTTTAGGAAACCCACGTAGCAAGAAATTGCAGGGAATCTCTAGCAGCCAAAGGCAGCCTCAGGTCTACATCCAGCAAAAAAAAAAAAAAAAAAAAAAAAAAAAGGAAGAAGCTCTCAGCCCTGCAACTGCCAGGATCTAGATGCTGCAGCAACCACACAAATGGGGCATGGATCCTGCCCCAGTTGAGCCACCAGCTGAGAACCAGTCCTAGTGGACACCTTGTTTGCAGCTGAATCCAGCTGTTCCTGGACCTCTGACCTGCAGAAGCTGTATAAGTGTGTGTTTACACATGAAAATGTTTAAACTATATAAACAGATATTTTAAAAAATTCTAATGAGTTATACATGACAGTAGAGTGCATTTTGATATATCATACATAAATGGTGTATAACTTCTCATTCTTCTGGTTGTACATGATGTAGAATCACACTGGTTGTGTAATCATGTATATCCACAGGGTAATAATGTCTAATTCATTCTATTATCCTCCCTAATCCCATATGCCCTCTTGTTCCCTCACTGCCCTCTGCCTAATCCAAAGTTCCTCTATTTTTCCCTGGCCACCCCACCCCTCTTATTGTGAATTAGCATTCGCCTGTCAGAGAAAACATTCAGCCTTTGCCTTTTGGGGATTGAATTATTTTGCTTAGCATGATATTCTCCAGCTCTATCCATTTGCTTGCACATGCCATAATTTCTTCTTTAAGGCTGAGTAATATTTCATTATGTATATGTAGCACATTTTCTTTATCCATTCATCTTGAAGGGTATCTAAGTTGATTCCATAGTTTGGCTATTGTGAATTGAGCTGCTAAAAATATTGATGTGACTGTGTCACTGTAGTAAGCTGATTTTGGGTGTAGACCGAGGAGTGGGATAGCTGGGCAAATGGTCCATTCCAAGTTTCTGAGGAATCTCTATAATCCTTTCAGAGTGGCTGCACCAATTTGCAGTCCCACCAGCATGTATGAGTGTGCCTTTTCTCCACATTTAACCCACTAGGTTTGTGGCAACTTGTTGCACAGCAATAGGTGACTAATACATTGTTCCAAAAACCCAGCTTCCTCCATTCTCCCTCTAGTCTCTACCCGACCCCTTTAGTTTCCCTTCCTTGAAGGTCCCCCCAACACCACAGTGCTAACTAGACCCTAACTGTCACTATGCAGTGGTTCCCACGGGCTGTCTTGTTTTTCATCTGAACTGTGGGCCTTTGGTGGGCAGCAGCTGGGGCTGCACCACTCCTCTCTAGAAAGAGCCCTGGGGCCACTGCTCTCTGGTTTCCTGTGTGATGAATTATGGGAATGTGGGGAACCAAGTCAGAATCCTGATGACCATGTGTAGTGCCCTCTGCTGGAAATAAAGTCCATAACAGTTCTTTATGGAGAAGACGAGGGGAGGGCCAGAGTAGGCCAGCCCCTAATGACCACAAAGTCCTGAGAGTCATGGGGAAGAGGGAAATCAGGCAGGGAATCCAGAGCAGGGCTGGCTTTCCAGGTCTACTCAGCTGGGCTCGGGGACCCTGTCTTTTGGAAAAGGAGGCAGAGCCTCTGGGCCCACCGTCACCTTGATGATCAAATCCCTCCAGTCTAATCCTTCTCTCCTGTGTTCACGCAGTCATGAATTGATGTATGCATTCAATAAATATTTATGTAAATTTTATGCCATCAACAAACCAGCAACTGCTCTGGTGCTAGGGATACAGCAAGGTCCCTGATCCCCACATTCCAGGGAGGGAAGGAGAGACAACAAAGAAGTCAATGAATAAACATATCAGATCAATTTTTGGACTTTCTTCAAGCACTCTGAAGAAAATCAATGAGAGGAAGACTGGAGGGCACTCGAGATGGGCAGGCAGAGGCTGTCTGTGGGATGATGTTTGGGTTTAGACTTTCAGGACAAGGAGCCAGAAGTCTGAGGAAGAGTCCTTCCATCAGCAGGGGAGCAAGTGCAAAGGTCCTGGGGCTTTGAATAGGAGTCCTGGGAAGGCGTGGCATATAAGAGGGACAGAAGTGGGAGCATTGGTGAGTTGCCTTTGGACAGGTGCAGGCCTTGGCAAAGGATCCATTTGGAAATCTAAGAGCAACAGGAGTCACAGAGGAGTTTCAGCCATGAGGAGCTTTGTGTGTCCATCTTCAACATCTTGTTACTGGCCACTCTAGTCTTCAGAGGCCATCAACTGCCAATGAGGAGATGCTCTCCCTGCAATGACCGTGAGAGAAAGAGGCGAGACGACAAAACGCCAGACCTATGGTGTCTTTCCCCTTCTAAAGAAGAGACCATGGGGGGCCTCCACTTCGTACTCCCTGCAGCAGCTATAAGCTAAAAATCAAATGTTGGGGTGCAGGGTGCTGGAGAGCTTCTCTGTGATTCCTTTTCCAAAGGAATAGGGTGGGAGTGGGTGGTGGTGGATTCCAGGAAGGACTTCTCCCCAAACCTTGGATTTCCACACACACGGCAACTTCCACCAGACCAACTGTGCTAGCTAACAACTAGCTAATGACTCCAGTGGAACCCTAGAGGATGTGTTAGAACTCAGAGGGACCCCTCTGTCCCAAGTTTGCAGCATCACTTCTGAGAGTTGGACCAGACACTTCCAGGTGACACTGGAAGGTCCCAGGACCAGAGGACCCTTCTCCCTCTCGCAGTCCTTTGGGAACTCCCAGAGGAGGCTGCTTGTGAGCTCAGCAGGAGCT